GGGCTGGGATACTGCCAGGGCGCCCACACCTAGACAGGAGGACGATTAGGGTCCTCAACCAAAGCCTTTGGCTCAAAAGCCTAACCACAAGGCAGCGGTGTTTGGCGGGAAATGCAAATGCATTACCATTTCTACGGAACAAGTCGCCACGTGTTCCAACCCCCAACCTGGAGGGCCAGGAGATTGTGTTCGTCAGACCTCTAATCTTTGACCAACCTGGTATGAGAGACTCTGTGAGTGTCGTGGGACACTCTCCAGTGTAGCTCAGTGGATCGCTGAGGTGCGCAAACCGTCACACGACGGTAAGGTCCAGTCTCTTCGTGACGGAATCGTGCCGAACCTTGCGAAAGTGAATTCGGAAATCTATCTTAGGATTAATATATTGTCGACGAGAGACTCGAGTGCCACTGGATTGAATCTCCCGTTTGTGATTATATTCAACCGAATACGCTACACAGACTCTGATCGTGTTTCACTTGGGCGGATGTTCTAAATATCGATAAATATTATTCCTCGACGTGACACTACTAGTGAGGTTGATGAAAGCTCTTCTACAGGCTACCGCTGATTTCGCTCCTCATTCATCGTCCCTGTATTTGGATCAATCTTATTTCGTAGCTGATAATCAAATTAGACGTTTGGGAAGCTCAATACCCAGTTCATCATCAGCATTATCATTCTTGATAGCAATAAGCGAAACCTTCGTCTAAGGTGGGCGTCAGGTAGTAACGTTAACCCGTGAAATCTAGAATATTTGTTGTTACACTCGCCCCGAACATAGTTGCTACTCTAGCGTCTCCTTAATTTTTTCAGCGACTTTTCACGTATACTGATTCCAATTCATCGGCAACTTGTGCCTAACCTTTTGCCTGCCCGAGCGAGCTATGAACAGGTGAAAGAGCATTGGCCGTTTGGACCCGGACCAGATCAACTCGTTTTCTTAGCACACTTGGACGATACCGTGGAAATTTTGGGCTCACAGACTCGACCAAAGAAAATGACCTGGATCGGATCAGATGGTAGACGTTACATTATTGTTGCCAAGCCCAACGTAAGTCGGAATAATTTTCAGAGGAATGGCATTTTTTAATGTCGATTGGACACCCAACCACTGATTTGATTAGCTGTTCCAATTGGAATTCTTTACTAAACACTGCATTACTGTCGGTTCACACTTGATGTATTTTCCCCTTTATAACTAATTACTTGACAGGTCGGCATAAATGTTGATTTCTTCCATCAGTATTTCGACAACCATTCGTGTCATTTTCTACTTTCAAAAGGATGACCTGCGCAAAGACTCCAGGCTTATGGAATTGAATGGTATGATCAACAAGTTCTTGGTCAAGAATCCTGGCACACGGCGTCGTGCCTTGCACATTCGTACCTACGTGAGTCTGAACAGGTTGCCATCCTGTGGTGAAAACCCTTTCCCCCCCCCATTGATTGCAAAGCGGGTTTTGTTTTGAAACAGGAATATTGTTTTGGTCAATAGGTATTTCGGTCGTTCTGCCTAATAGCCCTACCGTAGATTGAAACTCTTATAGTGTCTCTTCAGATCTGAACAGACTGTCCTAGTCCAATTTTTTTGTTATCTCGAAAAGAGCAACCCTCAAGAAGCTTACGGTCTTTCCAGAACAAGTTTGCTGTACTCGTAGGAGTGTTTTCCTTCATCTTACTTCCTGCGGCTACCTATGACAGCCAGATAAAAAATACTTCCGGGTTTTTGACCTTTTTCCTCGATATAACTTCACTTATAGGTGTTTGCTGGTGTTGTACGTCCTGGAAACTTTGTTAGGTGTTCACTGATAGTTTTCGCTGGCCACATAAATTTGGGTATAAAACTATGATCTGGCAGTAATTTCACTTTTTTTATTGGATATGCAACGTAGATCTATTTAGCAGCCTCCTTTTCAATTCAGTGGGATTGTGTACATCTGGTTTTGTGCAGGCGATTGTATGTCACAATTCTGCATCCCACCTCTGACCTGTTTCAAAATTCAGTCTGCTAAGGCGTAGTGGATGAAGCATGCAGCTGGTAACAACTCACGAAGCTTATCAACCCGGGCCTGTTAGTATTTTTACTCGTTCTCAGGTTCCTGCTCATAATCGATTGTCCAAAGTGAGCAATCGTCTGACTAGAGATTGTGCGACCAGATGGAATGTCGTTTGATCAGGAAGTCTAACAATCACCCATCAGGGAAACGGGCAACAACCCGCAGCCCCAGTTTCACCGTAAATGGCCATTGTCAACTGCTCAACTCGACTGTGTTCTCCCAAATTTTCATCGACATTCTACAAGGTTTATACCATACGTTATACGAACCAACGTTAGAACAGGACGCTGTTTCATCTAATATTATTTTTATTTTGCTTTGTTGGGCTCGCACAGGCTGTTATTCCACTCAGCGAGAAGGGTGGTCTTATTGAATGGGTGAGCAACACGGAACCATTTCGCGCCATCATCACCAGACTGTACACTGAAAGTGGTCGACCCATCAACTGGGCAGCAATGAGCCGCGTGGCTCCACTTTTGGAGGACCCCTTACCGTGAGTCTTAGCCAATGAATTGTTCAGGCGCTTTTGTTATTTAGCTTTATGGAACCTTATTGTTTGTGTCCTTTCTGTTCATCCTCAGCGTGAAACGTGATAAATACCTCAACAAGTGGTTGCCCATGTTTCCACTGGTATTCCATCGTTGGTTCCTGGATACCTTCCCCAACCCCAGTGCCTGGTAAGTTGCGCTATCCATGATCCGCGCCGATAGTAAATCTTTCTTTCGAATCACAGATCTTGGGTGAAGTATGAAGTATGGACCCCATCGACCAGGATGTAATCATCGGCTGTAAAGCTTAGCAAACTTGATGGTCTTTGGTAGACGGTAGTTAAATTAGAATCAACTACTGGAACCGTCGGTTCAGTTCTCATAGTGTAACACATACCAATAGTTTTAATCAGTATTTAGAGGCAGTACATGTGAACCGATGTATTGGAGACAGCAGAACAGTATCTTCCAAGTCATTGTGGGTGAAACAACCCGCGAAAGACATTTCAAGGTGGGGACGACTATTCGTTTGGAGGGTCATTGTGGAGACAGGGACCCGGTGTTGTCTGTTGAGCTTCCCGGGAACGACACTGTCATGTATCGCTCAGAATCGGATTTCAAACACCGGCATCTCTTCGATTTCTCTTGAAAATGGGGTTCCTGTTGTCTGAGTTCCGTTGACGTAAAAGACGCCTGAGATCGCACAAAGTGACACAGTTGCTGTGCAGAAACACTGAAGTGGTTTATACTTCATGAAACAAATCTTGTTCGTCAGAATATTTTTTCGGGCGGATGTGTTGCATGACAGGGTGGGAATCTGTTCGATCGATCAATACCTGCCTAATTGGTTGCTTTCGGCTTAGTTCCCTAGTGCGTTAGCAGGGGAAGCTACCCTGTTAGTGATAGTTGTGCGTGTGGCATTCATTGAGTGTGCAGTTTGGTCAAGTTCTCGGTGTGAAGCTTAACTACCTGGCTTTCCTCATATTTGGGGGCAGTACCGAACGACACATGAGCCAGTCAACATAGTCCAACTCCTTTCTGCTGTACCAGGACTGCTGAGTTTTTACGATTGGTAGCTGTAACCTGATAATACCGACACAACAAGCCATCTATCCACTGAATGGTCGTAAAAAAAATCAAATTTGAGCACGCACTCATCGGTCCCCCGATAAACAGCTGTTAAGTTGACAGTAATTCCGAAGCATAGGACACGACTGGAAATCTAATTATGCATCAGAACAATGTACAGGACCTACTTCATTCAAAATGTGCTCCGAAATTTCAGCTGTTTTTTCCAGATTTCTGATGAACTTAGTGCACGGACAGTGTGAACCACTTTCGGCTGCCGGCCGATCCCTCATTATTCCATAATTTTGAACCACGAATCAGAAACTACAAGGCTGTGGGAATGTTAGCAACAATAACTTATCCGTGCACCTACTAATTTTGTCATCTGGCTACACTACAACTGAAACGCTTTATTCTCTCTAACTGGAGTAGCTGTACTCTATATCCAATCCATGTCAACTGCAATATCACGATGGCGTACTCGTCAGTAAGGAGGACCCCTTGCATCGGAACATAGTTGTAACCACAATTTAACCCTTGTCTTTGTGTGCATTCATGACTCCTATGGATTTGGGTTTTACGGTGGTATTTTTGCACCGCGTTGGTAAACCTCAGTACAAGCTAGGATTTCACTTTTAATCCTCTGTTTCGTAGAATTGACCGGAGACAAATCTTTGGGTGTGCGGTTTGATCCCTCCCACTAAATCTCTTTTCAGCTTCGAATTAAGCTGAAATTACAGAAGATTACAGATGAGGCATTGCGGGGATTGTCTTTTGAGGCGTCAATCGCCTTTGGAAAATTTGTACGTTGTATGCTGACTTGTCTCTCTTAACCAGGTATTCCGCTCGTGAGTCATATGCTCGAACGTGTGCCGTGATGAGTATGGTTGGCTACGTGCTCGGACTTGGTGATCGACATACAGAAAACATTCTGTTCGATTCCACGACCGGCAGTGTCGTGCACGTAGATTTCTCTTGCGTTTTCAACAACGGTCTTACTCTGCCGTGGCCGGAACGGGTTCCATTTCGTCTCACACGCAACATGGTCCGTGCACTTGGACCGACGGGCTTCGAAGGTATCTTTAGGCGATGCGCCGAGGCTGTGATGCGTTTACTGCGCCATGAAATTGACCCACTGTTAGCTGTCTTTCGACCACTCTATTTTGATGCCCTCGTGGAGCAAGGTGGTAACACTCGTGGATCGGTTACCGGTACGGAAGCTTGTGAGTAGTCATGTGTCTGACAATATGAGGCCCACTTGTTTTGAGTATCTTTTTGCTTCGGTTGTTTGCTTTTCAGAGCGATGTCAGCAGCTCATGCTTATAGGGATTGTTGTTCACTGGAGCGGAGAATTCTTTTGCAAGCATTTTCTCGCAACTTGAAGTGACATGTTACCTGCGCAATGTATTGGATTTGTGTGTCCATTACAGTGACCTAACTGACTTTGAGTTTCGATCAATAATTTCAGTTAGTTTTCTGATTATCCGGTATTTCAGACTTCTTCACTGACGTTACCAGAATCAGTCGGTTCTTCCGAACTTGTTTGCACTTTAATAACTGTTCAGCTTGTTCAGGCGCTGAGTTGTAGGCGAAAATCCTCTTCGTCCTGCTTTAGTGCTAGTGGGTACCAGTTTTATCTATCTTTTGGTCCACCACATATTGCTTTTGCGCTATACTCATAATATTTTCCACTTTTATCGGACTGAAGTTTCATCAGCTTAACGACCTGTTGCCAGTACTGTTCACACTGTCGATCTGGCTAGGGATTTTCGCAGGCTAATGCACACTTGCTCATCCAGATTTTGTGTCAGTCAAAACTCATTCGCCTAATAGGAGTTTTTGTGGGCTGGTCTTTTTCGTACTCTAAGAAGAATCTATTTATGGTAGATGACTGAAGAACTTTTTGAACTACGTTATCCGCTTCCCACTCTATTTTTACTCGTCGTCCTCAGCATCCTTGTCAAAGGAGATATCAACATTGTTGTGTAATTCAAAGGCAAAGTCACGATTGAAAATATCGTGGGTGGTGAGAATACCTTGAAATCCTCCAGGCTTGCTTTTCTATTGCACGACCGCCGTGCTGTCAGACGAATTGATCTCGATCCAGACCTGCCAAGTAGCTAAACTGGCTGTGGAGCAGCCGAGATTTTTCAGTAGCCACACTCGTTCCATGAACCTCCAGGCCGAGTGCTATGGGAAACAGAGATGATACGCTTCGTTTTATTGGTCAACGTTATTGGGAGTGTTCAACTGAAGAGAAGGATGTGTGCATTGCTGGGTTCTGGTAGGACTCGAGAATCAGATCACTTTGCACGCAGTATTGAATTCGGCTTTGTTTGATTTCGTGGGTCTCTCAGATCTCTCGTCAGTTTACCTCACCAGTAGTTTCTTTTTCTAGCTGCGCGCCTACTTCGCGTGTGCTTATCGCTCCTCTTCTCAGCCGCAATTATTGTTGTTTTTGTTCAGATGGACAACTAAACACTGCTTTTTCGCTATCTTGCAGCTGGAAAAATCAGGCGAGCGGCCCAAGATCATGCTGTCTCAACTGATTTGGCCGATCGCGTTGCCCAGGTCGCGGCTGAGAAGCTTACTAACATGGAAGATAGATTACATGGTAAAATCACGGAGCATGACGGTTTCAGCCAGATACTACCCATTTCCGTTGAGGGTCAGGTGAGTTTCTTCATACCTTGACTCTCCGCCCATTGTTCTGCGTTAAACATACATTCGTCTAGTTAACTATTCAGGAAGCATCACTTTAGTTGCAGGTTGATCCTCATCAGACAATCTACCTGAGTATCCTCACCTTTCGTTATTTTTCGGAAATCGTCTTACCCTGATTTTACTTCTTGCCCATAGGTTGACGTTTTGATCAAAGAGGCAACCGATGTCGACCGACTCTGTCAAATGTACAAAGGATGGATGCCGTTCTTGTAGCATGTTTTCAGAGATTTATTGTACAGATTTTTCACGATTTTACTTACTCTAGAAATACACTCGTCGGAGAATTCTGATCAGTCTCTACTCGCTTCTTTATAAGATAACCGGTTGTAATCTACAAATTTCTGTCAGTGCAACGAGTGGGCATTGGGCTCGGCAATAAAAGAGTATATTTTTTCCCTAAGGCATTTCCCAAAAAAGGTTAGATTTCTTTAGGAAGGTCTGAATCAAACAACACTCAAAGGGTATTCGCATAATCCTACTGCGTTTATTCACTTCCACAAACATTCATTCGTTGGGCTGAATTTCGCACGCATGTTTCCGCCAATAAGAAATCTGTGGCGCCGATAAAGCAGATTTACGTTGACATTCGGTTATTCAACTTCTACACACATGTGCATATAAAATTGCTTTTGACAAGAGACTCAGCTGGAATCCAAATAAATCTCTCGTTTATGATGTTCGGTTATGTTTCAGCAGTTCGCAAACTCAGAATGATGGCACCCCGGTACGCATGTCAACTGCCAAGTTATCATACTCTACACATAGTTATGTACGTTTCTGTAACATATCAAATCCAACCACTATTCCAAGGCATAAAGGCCTCGTGTTCATTCATGACACCAATGAGGGCTCTTCATGGAAGATACGACTGAGTTCTCTCAAAGAGTAGAGAACTAGTGTATTTGGAAGATGGAAAATGGCATCTAGATGGACGTCACATCCGAGTTGATTCAGCTAAGACTGGATTTGTGTCAGACTTGGGGTAACGAAGGGTGTTTATAACGCTTCGAATCGCAAGGGGTGCACGTTTTTGGGCGCCCTTCTGACCCACGTCTCCAAGGTGCACAACAGGTGGCGCGGGCTACAGCAGGTTTTTCATTGTTTTGTGCCACCAGTTTAAGTGACTCATCAAGTAAGATGGCATACACAGCTAGCAGTACCAGTTACATTTCTACACTTCGTTTCACAGAAAAACCTGAAATGCAGTCGAATCGCCTCTGAAACTACTGGACTGACGAGTTTCCCAGGGTGGTTGATGAAAAGTGCCTTGACTTATTTTCTCAATCTCCAGATCATTTTATGGCCTCGTGTTCGAAGGAGCAGAACCCTGTTTGAAATATGATTTGCATACCCAGTGGCAACACTTTGAAATGGATGAATGAGATAAGCTGACAACATAGAACACAGATGGTACAAATTTACCTGAAAATGAAGGCCGCTCGCAATGAGGGTTAAGAACGCCACCCACCATTGAAGTGAAACCGCACACCCACTGGCGGGTGACGCATCGTGGTTCATTCACCTCGGACAGAAGGATCAGTGAGGAAATTGTGGATTAAACAGGTGATCCACACAAACAGATAAGAGAATGGAACCAGTGAACTTCTGATGCATGGCTGGCGAGGTAGGTTCGCCTGGCGGTTGGGTAATGTTTCTAGGTCACTTATTTAGCAAGAGCATCTGGCGTTTCATTGAACTGAGTAATCAGCTAAAAGTCTGCTCACGGCAAATTAACTGCCGTATTGGATGTGTTCGATATGCTTGGACAGAATTACCTGCCTATGCGCGTCTTACAAAACCCTAGAAGTCAGCGAAGTTTCCTGCTCATCCCTCCGCGAAATGCGTTTCCTCATGGTTTGAATTCGGCGCATGCATTGTTGTGCAAGAAATGTCTGTATACCTGGAAGTGGGTGTTGGCGCACAGGCCCAATTGAAAAAATCGATTCAAGCTCACTGACCGAACGATTGATGGCTCCCATTGGCCAGCAGGGACGTGACGGAGGACGACCGGCAGTCTCCATCGTGCTGGACTAAATGAAGTTTTCCATCAAAATGCAAGCACTCTTGGCAGCATGAACCCAGTAATTCTGCCGATTGCAGTTTGGCAGTAGGTCGTACAATACACCCCAAAATACTTCGTTCGTAAACTCGGGTGTTCTGCGGTAGACACTGAATGTGCATTTTCAGTAGAATCTCTTTGGCCCTTTCACATACGGTCTGCCGACTGTAAAGACCCGGAATTTTCTAGCTGTCATGGATTTGTTTCCAGTTAGCATTGAGGGGATTTCTGTTACGTAATTTATTAGTTGGTGTGGTGAATCAATCAAGAATAAGACCTTCAACACTTATCGCGTCGGATTTGGTAACATCATTAGACTCAGAACGTAGTTTAGGAACAAAAGATAATGTCTTGTTCGATAGATTACTTTCAGTTATACCTGATCACCTGACGAAAATTTGCACTCTAGGACGGTTCAAACACATGGAAAAGCAGGCCCTATTAGTGAACGACACAAGGGAACTCTAACAGAATTCACCTGAGGCCGAACACGTCAGTTGAAGTCGCAGCGACTGTAGCCGTTTTCATCCGATGGAGAAAACGTGGGACCCGGTTAGAAATCTGGAATGTATTACCGGTTATTGGGACGTAAACCCTGTCTGCATCGCACAATGAAAATAAACTCAGAAGTTGGGACTGGAGACCGAACAAAGCTAGGATTCGATTCATCCAGCGATTTGCATTATTTTCTCAACAGCTTTTCACTCGTGAAATTAAGGTAGGTCGGTGTTTAACTTGAGTTTGATTTATCATCCGCTTCTATACGTGTCCTGGCCTAATTGTGTGCAGGAAGTTATTTTCCCTGTTCAAGAGTGCCAGAATCCTTTTTGTGCCTACATAGAAAGGTAATACTATGGTAACTAGTAGGTGGGCTTCGACGCATCCATTAAGCTTGAAAAAGAATCCGACCGCATCTAAGTCAACCCAACAGCCTGATGTTTCTGTCAAAGAATAACAAAACGATTGATTCTGTTGTTTGGAGTTTGGATAGCTTGTTTCACTGCAGGAGCTAGTGCGCGAATTTCACTGCTGACTGCTGTTCATGAGCGATAGGTAATTTGTGCATTAAAACGCGAGGTAATATTCTCAAGGTAAAATAAGTAAACTTAGCAGCAAATTTGGCTAGAAAACGCCATATGATTCTGTTGGTAGACAAAAGAAAAAAATCTTGGTCGCCAAATACACTCGTTTGAGAACTAATTTGTGGTGAAATAGCTCGCAGGATGTCGAAGTGATTTCAGCAACCGTATGAGTAGTATTCCTTTGGGAAAACGCATCGCGGTTTCTCGAATGGCGTGCAGCAGATTAAGTTGAAGGATATCACAAACCAGACACGAGAGATATAGCTGTGTCGTCCGTTGAAGTCAAATCAGCTTGGTGTGTTTGGTGGATTGCGTGCAATTCGGATTAGAGTCGAACTTGAGATTGAGGGAAACTCAAGAACTGTGTCTACTTCATGAGCCTCAGGAAGGGTGAAACTGGTCGCGGGCTCTCGAAGAGCATACAATCACCTTGTGAATAGCGTTCCTTAAATGGCGGGTCTTAATTAATCGATCATCCATCTTCGGTTGACTGCTTCAAGGAAGACTCTCACATCACCTGTTTACTGGGTCTTTATTTGAGAAATATATTGGTTGTCAAGCAACGAGGCCTGGATGTCTAAGTGAAGGAGTGAACCAAGCGTGGATATCGGAGGATGAACAACAACCTGCCCTCGTGCCAGGAAGGTCACATTCCTCCTGCAGATTATCTGAAACTTACTGAGGTCCTCAAACTCCACCAAAGGCTAATCATACATCATCGGGGCAAGATCAGACAGAGCCCTTCAAATATAGCGCGAGACAGCCTTGGTTCAAAGTTAGACGCCGCTCGCTAGAAAGACACCCGAATTGTTTTTTGGCCGAAACTATAAGGTTTTTGAAGTTGCGACTTTTGTGGGGAGTCATTCCAATTCGCTTGCACCTTTCGGTGATGTGTTGCATTTGTTTAAGTGAGCGAAATTTCAAGGTCACACACAATCGTCGATTCGCAATTCGTTACCGTTTTACGAGCTCGTGCTTTAGAATTTTTCGACGTTCTTCGGTGTTCTTTGTGAATGAGAACGTTTACAGAATATCCCATGCAAATTTCATGCACTGAGATCAGTCATTGACGTTTTTCAGCAAATGAGCTGAGTTTGTTCAGCGAACTTCAGTACTACAAACCGCACGAACTGTGCAATGGCGACAAGATGGGCATCTCTACGAATGGCTTTTTTTCCAGAGATGCATAACTAGCACATGGATAATACAGCGGCACGAAATAACTACACGTGTATCTCCAACAAAGTGCTGTCATATCCATAAGGAACTTGATGCTCGATAGTTGGAATGCGTCATAAAACAATAATTAAATAATGGCAACCAAGGGCACTCATTGCCGATCACCATAATGGCGGCCATCGTTATCTCTCAAGTCGACTAATTATCGTACATCCGTGGTTCGTGTTTATCTGTGACGATGATTGTGAGGCCTCAACTAGGCACGGTAACCTAATCCGATAACCGACGACTATTATTCCAGTTCGCGTTGTTGCAAACCTTGGCCAATTACAGTAATGTAGTGGTTAACGGCCCTATGGAGTCTCTAGTGAACTGAACAAACTAATGATTTAAGCCAGATACAAAGTCACAAGGAGAAAAATCCAAGTAAATCTTGACTGACAGTTCAACATAGGAGATTCCGTATTTCCGTATTCCGTTGAACCACCACACCAAGGATAGTTCTATCTTCCAGGTATTCCAGATGTCCGGTGATCGAAATATATTAATCCAAAAGTGTGAATATATTAGTCCAGTGTTTGCAGCTGAGATGTTTGTTCACGTTTAGTGTTAGCAGCGGTCAAATATAGCCACCCGGCGGTCACAACAACAGTCATTCAGCGAAAGTCTCACAGTCACGTTGGAGCCAACAAGCGGGCGGTAGCGGTTGTATTTCAGTAAAACGAACTTTTGTACAGCGATTTGACTGATAATGATGGGGAAGAAGGAGATGATACTGAGCATAGAAAGAGCAGTTTACAAGTGCTACAGTAACTTCCGGGCCCGTACCCATGCACGCAGCTGATTAAGAGGCCCCAAGTATATGTCATAACCGAATCCGACAACCAACGACAGCCCTTTGTATCTCTACATGTTGTCCGTCTAACAACCCCATGTCCTAAAAATCGCAACTACTTTTGGCGA